TTCTTCTTCTTCTTCTTCTTCTTTTTTTTAATTTTTTTTTTGTGTTTTGCTTTGCAATTAGTTTTACTCTGTTGGGTCGTAATTCTCTACTTTCATCTTTGTTCTCTAATAAAAATCTACTACATCAGTATATCAATGATATGCTTTTGCGTGTTTTACTCTCTTTCATTTCGAATTTTGTGTTCTACTTTATACTCGGCCTGTACTTTTCAAATTTCATCGATATTTTAAAAAGAATTTTTTTATCCTCCGTATGATTTATTTATATTATTCATCATTTTCCTTTATACTCCATCCGTTCCAAATTACAATGCTTGTTCACTATTCACATGGTCAAACTTTATTCACTTTCTTTATCTATTTTCGTTAGCAATTTGATAAAATAAAGTATTATTGTCACTACTAGTTTTGTTGATCTTTTGATGTAGTATTTTAATTGGTAATTTTTATTTTTTAATTCTATATAATTTGTCATATAAAATGATTTGAAAATAATTTCAGTCAAACATTGTAAACCGAAACAGGCGTTATAAAATGGGACGGTGGGAGTACTACTTTTCAAAAACAAAGATTTATTAAAATTTCAATTCATGTACATCATTATTTAATTTAATTTTTTTTGCGACAAAAGACATGCCATTTATGTGATGCCTAAAACAAATTTACATAATACTCCGTACATATTACGCCTTATATCATTATTAAGAAAATTAAATAAATATGATTATATTTAAAGAGTTTTTTTTAGAATATATATTGAATGTTACCCTCTCTGTCCCAATTTGTCTGTTTATTATTCACAGAGTCAAACATTGTTTACTTTTTTTTATTTCCGTTAGTCATTTGATAAAATAATATAGTTATGTCACCACTAGTTTTATAGATCTATTGATCTAGTTTTTAAATATGTAATTTTTTTAATTCTATACCATTTATATATATATATATATATATATATATATAATGATTTGTAAATAATTTTATTCTCGTAAAGTCTTTGGAAGACTTCAAAAGACAACTCGAATCATATGTATATATATAAAGTAGGGTTAATTAGTTGTGGGGTTGACACCTGTCTTCCTATCTTCCTACGTGGCGCGTGATGTGGATGATAACTTTTTCGAGATTATCTTTCTTGCGGGTTACGACTTACCACTGGACAAAGGGCCTGTTTGGGAATAACGTTAGAGATTAGCGTTAGCGTTTTGGATAAAATTTTAACGGTGCAGATTACTTTGAAAATGCTAACGCTAAACGCTGGCCGTAGATAGCTTTTTCAAAACGCTAACGCTAATCTCTAAATCTATTCCCAAACAGGCCCAAAGAAACGATTGAGTTTCGTTCTCGCTCAATCCATACCAATTTTCAGGTGAAGGAACTGCAGCGACTCTGGGAGATCGATCGTTTCTGGGATGTTCCCGGAATGCGGGTCGACCTTCTCTTCGCGTTCTTTCCCTCTTCCCAGGCAGTATCGTTCTTTCCCTCGACCTTCTTCTTCGCGTTCTTCGCGGAAGGAAACTAAAAATAATTGGATCTTCACGCTCAAAGGAAACTAATTTGATTCGGACTTGATTCCTGCGTTGGATTTTCACGGAAGGAAAGAAATCCCAGGTACTGCGATTCGACTTTCCATTCTTCTTCTTCGGCTACCCCAATTTTACACTAATTTATTCTAGAAAATTCTTTTTTTCATGAATTGGTGGGTTGATTGATACCAATCTGCTTCCTTCAATTAATTGATATAATAAAAATTGTGATTCATACATAATTCATCATCTTCCTCNAAAAAAAATTCTTTACATTTTTCACTATGAATGATAATATTTATTCCGAAAACATTTATATTTTTTAGATTTATTTACAATTTGAACTCGAGGTATTTATTTTAATGGTGTTTTGGGTAATCTACCCCCTCCGTCAGGAATTAATTATCTCACTGTCTAATTCAAAAAGAGTAAAATTGAAGGGAGAAAGATCAAAGTAAAACTAAAACATTGAAGATATACCAAAATAGGACTTCCATGTTTTTATTCCCGAAATAGGATTTACATTACCAAACATTGTCATATACATTACCAAGAAAGTATATATAGTAATTTGCACATGTACACTGCCACATTACCACAATGCAAAGTCACATTACCACAATGCAAAGTCCTATTCCGGGAAAAAAACATGAAAGTCTTATTTTGGTATTTTTCTCTATGTTTTAGTCCTATTTAGGATGATTTCTAAAAATTTGTTTAGTTAAAATTATAATTAATTAATTTAAGAAAGGATTTTTAATGTCCCACTTTTCAGGGATTGTTTGGGAAGATGCACTGTGATATCCACACTGACAGATCTAAAGCGGATGCACTATGAAGACCAATTTATGCATTGTAATTTGTCCTTTAAATTTTATTCTAATTTAATCCTATTAGTTTGAATTTGTTAATAATAAGCCCTGAGTGACTTTGGATGTAATGAAAAATTCTGAGAATGCATTGCATTCTGAAAAAGTTCAACGAAAAATATGAGAAATAATTTGCCCATGAGGGATTTGAACCCACATCTGTAGTATATACCGCTCTAGCATTTGAGCTAATAGGCAACCATTTTTTTCAAGGAAATTTTCGTCCTGCACTTGGACCTATGAAGTATGCATTTTAAGCTTTAAAAAATAGCATCATTCAACAAATTTTAACTCATATTGAAATTTATTACTAACATTTTTTTTGGACGTAAATACACTACTTTCATTAACAAACCCATTGTTCGAAACAATACACCATCTATAAGCTTTGCAGCATACTATTTGCATCTATACATGCAAAGAGTGACTTTTGAAATAATTACAGAACATTTTAAATTTATCACTGTTTGGATATATTTCACTATCTAGAATAAATAGATGCATCATATTTATGTTAGGAGAATTTCACCATCTCATAAATGAACTTCACTTTGATTCTAAGAATGCATTATCCTTACCTTGTTTCTTATAATGCATTTTCTTATCATGCAAATGCATTACATGTGTCCTGATAATGCCTAATAACACAAACCCTTAGTTGACAAAAACTTAAAAAAATACATAAAAATGCAGTTGGCCTAATTCCTTTCTATATAGGCCAAAAATTCAAGGTTCTAAAGCATTATAAAAATTCACAATAGCAAAAATACGGCCTCAATTTTTTTTCTTGGAAACACTGTGAATAAGAATGCATTACCTTGGAAAAGGCAATACTCCTACATACAATATGCACCATACACACTAACATATGCATAAATAAAAACAAAAGATGTAAATATTAGAATATTTAATGGAGCAAAGAAAATACATGTACTAAACCAATAAAAACATGATTTAACTTATCTAATACTTACAGAGTAATAAAAAATCAATAGGAAAATATGCATTAGACATTTAAGAACAATTTGAAAAAAATTAAATAAAAAATCACAAAAAAGGTGGGTAAATATATAAGTTAAATCATTTTGATGGAGATGACATGCATTTAACCTTACATAATGTAAAAATTAACATAAAATATATTTGTGTAAATCTTGTAATAAAGAGGGAAAGAAGCAATAAACTCAATTACTGCACATCATATGTATAGGATTGTTGCCGCTATCCCTCTCTATTTCGATTTGGGATTCAACCACTTGTTCAAGGCCAAGCTCCAACCTCCTTCATGCTCTGCGATCTATCTAGGTCGTCGCTGCTCCGCCCTGTCAGACGATTTCTTATGTTGCTGAAAATAATTGAATTAATTCATCTCAGTAAAAACTAATTTTCCAATTTCATACGTATAAGGAAACCTAACTTTTCATTCCATATATAAAACT